TGATTAGTCATTGTTTCGTATTAGTGTTGCAATAAGTTCAGTTTAGTTCTAATGTGTTGATGCCCATCATCATTTTAACCTGTATGTCCTGGCGAGTGACACTAGGGGGGGGGCAATTGGTGAGCCATGCGTGAGCCGCAGCAGGTTTCACGCATTAATGAAGAAGCCACACTGCCAGCACTGAAACACATACTATTGCATCTCATTGTGTGTGTGTTTGTTTGTTTGGGTTTATTGCAGGTAAGATGTATGATGTGGCATCAAATGTTATGTTTAGTATGTGTTTAGCTGTGTAAATAATGTGTTGGAGAATCGTTTATCTATGTTTATTTGTATAGAATAACCGCATGCAGGGGCGGACTGGCCATCTGGCAGACCGGGCAGTTTCCTGCTGGGCCGACGTACTTTTTGGGCCGGGCTGATCATCGTCTTATGATCTGATCGGCCCACAAAAGGCTTAGCAGCCTATCTTTTTTTCTGCCTTATTAATTGATGCTGCTGTGATCTGTGACTCTCTGAAAGTAAGATACTTTTTTTCCCGGACAGACAGACCGGGCCGGCCCATGTGACACACTGCAGCCCATAGGCTCTTTTCTGTATTGACATTGGACTGGCCCAATCACAAACTCCTATTTTGGACTCTGTGTGAGCGTGCGTCGTCTGAGTGTATTTGTCAAAATAGTCGAGAGTCAGAGAGAAGAAACGGAAGGGAGGCGCAGAGAAATCGCGGGAAATATACCAGCGTTTCATTTAGCGGTTCTGAAAAGTTCTCTGTTTATTCTAGAACACGGCTAAAACGCAAATCACGTGACCAACCACTCTGCCAAGAGCTGCAGCCAGTAGTTCAGAGGCTGAGCAAAAACCCCAGGTGAGAGTATAGTGCATGTCAGACAGTTCATCTACTGGATCTCATCTCACTATAGTTGTTAAACTTGACATTAAATTCATCTTGTTGTCTATCTAACAACTCATATGTCTTTGAATCAGGTAACTCTGTTTAGGCAGAGTGCAAAGATAAGCTAATATATTAATTTATGTAACATATCTGCACATTGACTGATTGCTTACCTTTATCATATAAATTTATTGTACATTATACTGTTATAATGGCCATTATTGATTATTAAAGCCGATATTCTGCAAAAGAGAGGGGGTAAAGTTTGTTCTTTTTAATGAAAATGAAAGGAGGCAGTTATATTCAAGCCCTGTTTTGTTATAAATATGCATAGTAAAGATGACACTCATATAAATATATAGCTACACGAGGCTGTTTGGTGTCTGTTAATCATAATATCAAAATGAAACAAATTTCCTTATATTATTGTTTTCATAGTGAAACAGCAAACAGGATGAGGTAAATGAGGTTATAAAGTACACTGTTCCCTTTGAAGATTTACCCATGCATTAGCAGGCAGTTTTTGTTATGTTTATTATTGAATATAGGCTGAGTGAATAGTGTATTGAATAAGCTAAATTGGGTGTAGTGTATGAGTGTGTAACGACTGGGCGGAGTGACAGATACAACAGAAGGTAAGATCCAATATGCAGGTTTATTCAGCGTCAGGCAAGCAGTGGTCATACAGGTGCAAACAGGTATGTATAGACAGTCCAGAGTCGTAGTCGATATAAACAGGCAACAGGTCAAAAGGCAGGCGGCTAAACAGGAGAACAAGGAAAACAAGGCTAAGGTCTAACACAGAGAAACAAGACAGGGAAACGCGTTGTAATGTCACAAATGCAAACAAGACTCGGCAACCAGGGTGAGTGAATGAGTGGTTTATGTATGGTATGTTATCAGTCTCTGACAGGGTTCAGCTGGTGAGTGCAATCAAGCAGATGAATGAGCATGGGTGTCTGGGAGCAGTGCATGTATGAAAATGTAGTCCTGGGAAATGCGGAAGTGTAGTCTTGGTGCTCGTGTGAGAACCAGCGATCTCTGGAAAGCGATCGCTGGTTGTGTGACAGAGTGTGTGTGTGAATAAGTGTGTATGGGTGATATCCAATATTGGGTTGTGGCTGGAAGGGCATCTGCTGCATAAAACATGCTGGAATAATTGGCAGTTCATTCCGCTGCGGCAATCCCTGATAAATAAGGGACTAATGCGAAGGAAAATAAATGAATAAATGGTGTATTTTTTTGGAACCCAACAAATTTCTTTATGGATAGTATACAGAAATTAAATTGAGATTAAAAATTTTATTTATTTATTTCATATATATGGCTTTTGTGTTTTATAAAATATGAGTTGATAAAAATATTGGACGTGCATAGATAGATAGCATTTTGATTGAATGTAGTGGGCCGCTCTGGCCCAAAATGCCAGGGTCGATTTTTTGCCCCAGTCCAGCCCAGACCGGATGAGTGTAATCGCAGCAGACTTGCTGTCGAGTCGGCCGCGCGCTCGCGCGAGTGTAGATCTAGATGATAGAGTCTGTGTTATTATATAAATATAATATACATATAAATATGGTATACATATAGATTACAAGGTTTATTAAGTGTGAGTTTACCTTTTGAAACTAGTGTGGGTTAATACAATTATATTAAAATGTTAGAGAGTATTTAAATAATAATAGTATAGTAAACTATAAAGTAGTTAGTAGATAATACAGTTATTTAAAATAGTTTTTGTTTGTTGTTTATATAAAAATAAGAGTTTGGAGTTTATTGACTATTACTCTGATATCTGTCATGCATATTATTGTGTGGATAAATGCATTAAGTCAATGTCTATTCATTGCCATTGTTTATTGATAATTCTATATTTAGGTTTTTGTGTAAGTGTTTCTGTTTTCATTGTTTTTACGCATTAGTGAAGAAGCCACACTGCCAGCACTGAAACACATATCATTGCATCTCATTGTGTGTGTGTTTGTTTGGGTTTATTGCAGATTGCAGTGACAAACAATAAAAATAATATTATGGTGCCAAAAGAAAACTTTTGCTTTTCTGTGTGTGCAACATTAACGTGGCATGAATGTCTGCTAAAGTTTAGATTTTCCATCTTGATTCGTGCAACATGCTCATAAGCGTTGTTTTACGCAAATTAGGTCATTCGCACTGCCTCATTCACACGAATAGTGCCACAGGATGTCTATTTATGGCTTTGTAAAAATTTAACAGGTAAATCACTCATGTTTGATGCTTCTTCCATGTCAGGTTTGAACACACCATAAGAACTGTGCTGCGGCTCCATGGACATCCGCTTTATAAAACATATGCCAGAATTGGTGGTTCATTACTTAGATCAGTCCATAATATACTTAGAGACGTTTTTGTAAAAGGGCATCTATGAAGCAAAAACTAATTTTGGAAGCTGTTTGACAAACACGTGTGTTGGTATGGTGTGTTCACAATCATATTGGAGTGATGTAGGAATTAATGCATATAAACAAGATAGGATTTGCAAAGAAACCAGGATTAAAAGATCTGTTCAAACTCTCTGTGATCCAACTGCATTTCAAGAAGCAGTAAGTGATACACTGCATTTTCATAGTATATTAAACTACATAATTCAAAATCCCTCAAATCACTACAGCTGCAGTGTGCACAACTATAAATGAGGATGCATCAATCACACAACAGGAGTCCCGGTTTGTGGACTTTAAATCAGGTATATTTTGTACACTAACTTGCCTATAATTTGTCACATAAAACAATAATAATTGTCACACACACACAGTCACATAAGACATAATACCTTGTCACATAAGACTCTCTGGACCTATCCTTGTCTCTTACAGGATGGATATGAGTTTCAGTGTTACCCGTGTCAAGGGTTGTGTCTCTGGGTTCAGTGAGTTCTTGATGTTGCATTGGGTGCATTGCCCGCACATGGGTGCGGTTTCTCCTTAGCAGTCCGTCATCAGTGTGTATGATGTAGGACCTTGGTGTTACCGCTGGACTCATGACTGTCCATTGAGATTGTTCTCTTGGCAGCCACACACGTTCTCCAGGTTTCAGTATTGGCAAAGGACGTACTTGGTGGCGCATATCACACCAGCATCGCTGTTTGTCTTTTGCTCGCCTCTCACACTTCCTGAACCCCTTGATATTTGGCCATCGAGGTTTTAAAATCTTTGGAAGCTGTGGTAATGTAGTGCGCAGTACTCTCCCCATGAGAAGTTGTGCTGGAGAGTAGCCATTCTCTAGAGGCGTAGCCCGATATGTCAAAAAAGCTTTTGTTTTCTCTCCGCCTCCTTTTCATAGTCCTTTTACTGTTGCCACTGCACGCTCTGCTTCTCCGTTTGCTTGTGGGTATCTCGGGCTGCTAGTAATGTGTGCAAACCTATAGTCACTTGCAATATTCTTAAAGAGTGCACAGCTATACTGTGGTCCATTGTCTGACATAACAGTCTCTGGAATTTCATGGCGACTAAACACATCTTATAGTGCTGCAATTACAGTATCTGCTGTGGCTACATTGAGACATGCTACTTCAATGTAGCATGAAAAATAGTCCACAATCAGGAAATATGTAGTCTTTTCCCAGAAAAATAAGTCTGTGCCCACTCGCTGTCAGGGTCTTTCAGGCACTGGGGTAGTCAGCAAGGGTTCTCCGTGTTCTGCTCTATTCTGTGAACATATAGTACAGTTCTCCACCAACTGACTAATGTGAACAGACAGTCCTGACCACCAGACGGCCTGACGGGCTCTGGCTCGGCATTTGACAATACCCTGGTAACCATCATGTATGTTATGGAGGACCTCCTGCCTCATCCATAGGCCAATTTCACAAGAACCGGAAGCCCGTCGCCGCTGGGTAATTTTACTTCCGCTACAGTGACAACAAACGATTTCTATGCTGAGAAAACATGGAACGATTTTTTACAACATCTCTCTCCACTCTGCCGCAAATTAAGTTCGAGGACATCAACCGAATTGTTGCAGAAAATTCTTTATCAAGGTACGTTTTGAATTAGCTACTATCGCTAGCATATCGCTAACGTTAGCGGCAATAAAGTTACAGTCGTTTCTAAATAAGTTATATGATATATGTTGATTACAGATATGTTGACTTTTTTCATTGTTTATGCATGCTTAGTGTCAAATGTAGTCGACAGCAAGGTGGTAGTCAGAGCTAGATGCTACCGTTCAATGAGGAAAAACGAGGAACCCCACACACTGGAGGTTATATGTAATCTGCCGGTTGGCTTATGATTGCAGATTAGCTATCATTGTTCTGATAGCAAGTTCTATTATTTTTAATATAACTGCTGTTGCAGTTTTTAAGTGTTCTGGTGTAACATACGTAGCTTTTGCGGTTGCAGGCTAATGAATTTTACAGTGTTGACACTAGAACTACCGAGACGGTCATTTTGACTGCTATATTTGCAATTGAATAATTTAGTTTAAATTAAAAACACACATATCTATAAATCTCAGGCTTTCATTAAATATGAGAACGAGTCTGAATGACTGGTATGGCATTTCAAGTAGTTAGACAATTCTGGTAGTTCCGGTGTTAATACAACAGCATTTTTTCAGTGTTGAATATTGTTAATGACTTGTAGTTTTAAAGAACTTTTGTGTTCTTTTTTACAGATGTTTTTGGAGTCTCATGGAGAGCCTAGTGTCACTGCTTATGCATGTAGTTGTGCAGCTGGCAAAGGGTTATGTAACCATCTAACAGCTCTGTTGTATCAAACAGCCCACTATGTGCAGCTTCATCTAAAATCTGTCCCACCAACAGTGGCTTGCACAAGTGAACAACAGAGATGGCATCGTCCAAGGACACAGGTAAGTGTAATGTTTCCCGTTTTTCAGCATTTGCAAATATTCCTGGTTGACACATTTTTTTTTTTATATTAAGGGTGTCAGTCCAGAGGCAGTGAGTCAACTTGTAGTTCAGAAACCATGTTCTTTGGGGAAGACAGGAGTAAAGTCTACGCTGTACAAAGCTCACACAGGTGATAATAAACTGTGTGTATGCAAAATGTATCCATACTCTTGACAAACAGAAACGCATACATGTATATCAATATACAAACATCCTATATATGCATAAAAGACATACCCACACATAGAAATGTACAGACACACATCTAAATATAGATTCACATACATTATTTACAAAAAGAACAGAGAGAGGCTGACAGATGTATTTCATCATAAAGTTACATACACACTGACAGACTCCATTTAGTAATTTGTTGTTTCATATGTTATAAGTTAACACTAACAAGCATTTATTTCTTTAGGTCCACTTCCAGATCCACACGTCCTGGCTTCTGGAGCAAAACTAAACCAGATTGACCCAAAACCTTTGTTGGCTCATATACTTGGAGGCATGTCAGAAATGGAGTTGGTCAGCTCGCAGTTTGGTCCATTACCCCGGGGCAGTCCTCTTTCATACCACTATCCTCTCACAGCTGCTGATCAACCTACAGTTGATTTCCCCAACCTGCCAGTGTGTGGCAGTCAGTTTAGTACAAACCTAAATTTTGTTCCCACTCACCACCAATCTTTTCATTTGCAGTCAATACAAGTGTCACACATCTTATCCGGTCAGATTGAGCACAATACTCGACTACAGTCAAATTGTGCTGCCTGGGCACATGCGCGTCAACCAAGAGTCACCGCAAGCAGGTTTAGAGAAGTCTGCTATGTGGTTGGTGAATCTGCTAGCCAGTCATTAGCAGCACGTATACTAAAAGGCACAAAGCACACAAGTGCTATGAAACGTGGACTTGAACTTGAACCAGAAATTTTGAAACAATATTCTGAAACAAAGAGGGTTACGGTTTTACCTTGTGGCTTTGTTGTTCACCCAGATGCACCACATCTAGGTGCCAGTCCAGATGGGAGAGTATATGATCCATCTGAAATCTTCCCATTTGGTCTAGTGGAAGTAAAAGCTACATCTGCTGAAAGTATAGGCCAGGCTTCATTTATTAAAATGCAAAAGGGCCAAGCCAAACTCAAAGAAACACACAAATACTATTGGCAGGTTCAAGGCCAGCTTGCCGTAACTGGTCTGCAGTGGTGTGACTTTGTGACTGACACACAGTCAGACATAACCATCCAGAGGATTTGGCGAGATGATGTCTTTATAACATCAATGAAGGAGAAGTTGGACATGTATTACTATTATGTATATATGGACAAGTATCTATCTATGGTTTAAGCATTGCTGTAGTAAAGGGTTAATTCACACAAAATTTATAATTTTAATTACTCACCTTGATACTTGCACTTGTGAGCTAACCCTTTAAAATTGCTACCACGGTATGTATATATGTATAGTAATTAATTTTATATTGTTTTACAACTAAACTACTATTATAATTGTAAAAATTTCATGTTGTATCAGTTCAGGTTTACAATTCTGTATTATATCTGAAACTAACAATAAAATGTGTCAAATAACAACTGGACAACAGAACAACTGTATGATATGTTTATTTTGACCAATAGCAATTATTAAAAAAAAAAAAGTTTATTCAAACTGTCCTTGTTATTTTCAGGAGACTGCTCATTTTTGCTTGATAAAAGTAACAAATCTGCCTCTGAGCACAGAGGGGGAAATACATTGTAATATTTTTTTGTAAAAGTTAAAAGGAAATCATAAAATTACATTAACTTGTAACTATTTTAATAATAACAAGCAGATCAATGTAACAAATCAGCAGAGAATCCTTCAAATGTATCTAAACAAACACTGAGTTAATTTTATGTGGTTGTCATGGTTTCCGTTCTTTGTATATGGACTACTCCGATGGGTTTGATTTCTACTATTTTACACATTTCAGGATGGTTAAACTAAAACTAAACTGAAAATTAACTGGCTAGCCAGACAATCTGGCTTCAAGGTAAAGGCCACAGAACATGCAGAAATCTGGCTCATTTAATGCTCCAAAAACATTGGTCCCTGGTAATTTACCATGAAGCAGCAGTTATGCCAGATCTGGTCAATTGTTCCTGACAAGCTTAGTGGTATAGCAGAATCGAAGATGTGGTTTTCTTTAACTCGTCGTATTACTCTTTCCACCAGAATTCTGAGCCGTGCAATGGTTTGTGTTTTTTGACAGTCTGTCTTGCTGAACTGCCGGTCACGCTTGAACGGTGGAATTATTAGTGTAGCACCAACATTGGTGATCATGTCCCCAATTGTAAAGCCTTTGTCAGCCATCACCTCATCTCCAGGTTCAAGTAGACTCAAGATGCCAGACCTCCTTGTAATCTCTTTGTCAGAGATTGAGCCAGTGTACAGCCGAGAGATGAATGTTACTGCACCACATGGAGCCACTCCCAAGAGTCCTTTAAATGTTGTTGTGCTCTTGTAGTTAGAGAATATCTCTGAGTGGAGTGTCAGAGATGTGGGACTCTCACAGAAAATTTCTGTACAGTCCAGGATTACTCTGACATTTGGACTGAATGAACTATACTTCTCAGGCATGGAAGAGCTTATTTGTTCCCTTGACATCCAAATGGGAACAGAGCCTAAAACAAAATAAAGATAATTTGCCCAGGTGATGACTGTCCTGCTTACTGTGGCCATGCTTACACCAAAGATGTCAGCAATTACTCTCTCCCTAAGGCCAGCAGCTACGCGGCAGCAGTACATGAACAGTTCATCTATGAGCTGAATTTTGCGTGCAGGACTTGGTGTAGGGGAAGCTTCCTGACCCATTCTTTGTGCTTTTGTCCAGTACATAAGGTTTGTGGCAGATGGACAAACAGACTCCCAGAAAACCTGGAATACTTCCTGTGAGGGAAACCTGGTGTAGTAGCGAATTGTGTGATCAGACACACAAAACCTACTGAACACAGTTGGTGTCTCCAGTGAAATTTTAATTAGCCTAGCCTCCAGCTCTGCTATGTATTCCAAGGCTTCATCCAAAGCACCTACAAAATGACAAATTACAAAGGTTTAATAATAATATCAATGATTAGAATAAAAAAATCTAAGTAAAAACATTAAACTACTCAAGTTACTTTTAATTTTGTAGCACTTTATACAATGTTTTTTTCCAAAGAACCTTTACAAATTTAGTGAATTTAGAGTTGCAAACACCTTAATACATTTATAAAGCAGCTCTAAAACTGCGCATTCATTAAGCTGAAATCAAATCAGTGCTGATTTATAGTTAAGAACTGTATAGTTGATGAATTATAGGGTTAATGAATTTAATTTATCTTTATGGCACTGTTAAACCATGTAATGTGCCTCGACTGTGAGAAACAAAACACATGCAAATCATATCCTGATTAAGGAGCAAAGTTGTCGCCTTGTGCAACAAATTGAGCATTATTTTAAAACTATTGCCTGTTATTCACTGAATTTACAGGTTCTGTTCACTGCACGCAAACGCGTCCTTTTCTGATGTAAACAAACAGTGCGACAGCTCACGTGTGACCTCGCGGCTGTGATTACATCATTACATGAGGACAGAAATGACATTTTAGGTGAATTGTACTTTATGAATTGACTTCAACCCTAATCGAGATAATCATGCAGCCCTAGTGTGTATAATTTTGCATCTAAGTTACACTTTAATACAAATACTTACCAGGAGGGGGGTATGCAGCGTAGTCATGGTCCTTGACGATAACTTCTGAGTCGTTACTCTGCAGATCCACAGTTTTCGGGGCACGCACATCTACTCCTAGACGAGCACTTGACCTCTCAAAAGCAGACTGCTTTTGTGGCTGTACATGAAAATTGTTCCACTGAAAGCGACTTGGAATAACTCCAGGTTTTAAGCGACAACTACCCTGGATGAAGTCAGCAGCAGTGAAGTGTTGACTGCAGACTAACGTACTTGCCCTTCTAATATCAAACTTCGGCCCTTCGTCTCGTCGAATTGCATGTACCCACTTTTGTCTTTGCATGTCGTTAGTGGGAAACTCATGAAAACTCATGTATGGTTGCTTTTGCTTTGAATTGCTGCACTTTGGTACACAGCAGAACGCCTTGCTCCTCGACTGCGCTGCCATAGTTTTTACCGGAAATAAGTTTACCCAGGGGCGGTCAAAACCGGAAGTAACGAATGCGGAAGTGTGAAATTGGCCTATTGAGGAATTTCTATTCTTTGGCCCCTGAGGAGTAGCTCTCCAGCAACAGTAAGATTTTCTCTTTCAGGCCAGTATGGCCCCAACTCAGGTGGAAGATCATGTTTCATCAGCCACTCAGTCTCACAGTATTGGATGAGTTTTCCACAAATAGGATCAGCTTTCTGACTCTTGATTATAGTAGTCAACCGTGTCTCTGTAGCTGGGAGTCCCTAAATCACTGCATCCACAAACACCTTTACTTCCTCCTCTTCCTGTTTCACCTTTTGCATAAATGTATGTTTTACTGGGGCTCTTGATAATGTGTCAGCGGTTATGAGCTGTTTACCCAGCACATGCACAATGTCAAATGTGACATTGTTCCCTCTCTATGTCAGTCCAGTTGGCTTTTCTGTTTTGCTGCATCTCCAGGGCCATTGCCTTCAGTGTTGGGCCTTTTTCCTTATTTCCCTCTGTTCCTAGGCCGAACTTCTTCTCGCTTTTTCTGAACACCAGCTTCCTCTTGCTCACTCGCTCCTCTGCATCCCCCACACGTCCGCTTCATCAAGCGCCCCCTGCTGTGTAATGTTGAGAAGACTGCTGAATTTCTGTTATAGTTTGTGACATTATTCCGGCTGTTGTTTTGCTTTTTTTTTTTTGTCTGAGGATCATGAAAGGGACGCCCTCTGCTGGGAATATATTGTGCCAGCACTGTTTACAGTTGAAGACTGCCAAAAGACTTTTTGTTCTGTTTTTTTCCCTCCTCCTGGCTGGATTTTGGTCTTCCTCCAGAAAATAACTTATTTTCGATCAAACTTATTTAGAAATTTAATTAGTTGTATCTCGCATGTTGTTTTTTCCAGACTTTTTTGATCTAAAATAAAACTGTTTAGGGAAAATTCTTATAAATAACATTGTTTTCTCTTGAACTTTAAGTGCAGTCACTTTATTGATGGTGTTTGATCATAATAATCTAGGAAAAGTCTGTAAAATAACAGTGTTTCTTTGTAAAACACTCATTGGCTAACTTTAGTTGAACAGATGTGATTCTAACAATCTAGGAAAAGTCTGTAAAAAAAAAAAAACAGTGTTTTTCTGTAAACGTTTTATGGACAATATCTGTAGAGTTATTTTTTGCATTTTATTTAAACAAAGAAATTTTACCACTTTTATGGGTTTTGTTTGGATATATATATATGTGTGTGTATATATATATATATATATATATATATATATATATATATATATATATATATATATATACATACATATTTTATTTTTTATTTTTTTTCATACAGAGCAAGTAATTACAATTTATTATTCTCATTTTACGAAATTTTAAATATACTTAAAAAAACAGGAAACACTGTAAATAATACGGCAATTTTAATGTAAAAAGCAGACAAATTGCTGTAATTTGTCATTACTTATATAGTACATCAAATAAAAGTCAAGCTGTTAATTTACAGATGTTGTTTGTTATTTTTACGGACTTTTGTATAAATACTGTATAACTAATACTGTAATTTCCCAGTATAAAAAAACAAGAATGTCAGTAATTTGTCTTTAATAATAAGTAACTAAAATGAAAGTTAAACTGTTAATTCAGAGAGATTGTCATTTTACTAAGTTTTGAATATAATTTGAAATCACAAAATTACTGTAAAAAATGTAGAGTTTTTTTGTAAAATTTGGTGTGTTTTTTTTTTTTTTTTTTTTTTTTACTGTGTAAAGCATTATTAACATCCAAATTCATGTTTGGTAACATTAGTTAATGCACCATGAGTTATCTATTACCAATGAAAAACTTTATTTTCATTGACTAACAAGCAAATACTTACTGTTACCAATACTGCATATCAAAACAATATTGTTGAATGCTGAGATTTGTACCTTTAATTATATTTTGTGTGGTAATTTGATCCAGTTATACAGAATTGTATTACATAATAAGAATAGCTTCGTCTTAATCTGCTCCATTAAATTCAACACAGGTCAACAGCAAGAATCACTTTAAACATTTAATATGTATGGCATTCCTACATGATATGCAAATAAACACAGTACAGACTTTTGCCATGCCAGAAAATTTTATATTTATCCATTTGCAGGTCAAATAGATACAGTACAGAAGTCTCATTCTTGGATAAATAAGCATAAATAAAAAAACAAGAAAAATGCAATTTTCTAAAATACTACTATCATAGCCCTAACAGCAGAACAATTTGATGAAAAGAGAAGAAATAAAAACACATTAAAATAGAGAAACCATAAACGTGTCTTTTTCAGAATGCAGAGAAGGCTCCAGTGGCCTTACATTAGGGGATAGCTGGCCATTGTCGCAATGCCACAGTGATTGTTTTTGTCTTTTGCCATGTAGATGTAGCCTTTGTCACCCCATTTGTCAGACCAGCTAAAAAAGTTGAAAGAAATAATTAAATATGAAAACATGCAATCAAGCTTGTGCCCGCAAAACTAAAGATTGTTTGCATCATACCTGTTCTTCACAATCCAGTATCTATTCCCAGCAACATCAGCACCCTGATAACCATAGCCAACCACCAAGACTGCATGATCAAGTCGACTGGTACATGCTCTCTCATAATAGATTCCTAAAGATCAGAATATTATAAAAGAGTTAAGGCAGAGTAAGTTTAGTAATAAGTTTGGGTAACACTTTATAATTACTACACGCTATAAATCATTGATTAAGCATTAGCAAATAGTGAACTCATTATCTGTTAAGCATTAACTCTACATTAATAAGCGTTAGTAAGCAGTTTATATCTGCAGCTACAAATGCTCTATTCTTGACTAATAAGCACCTATATAATTTGCCTAATAATTGTACTTTCATACTTTGTTAATGATTTATTTTTCATTACTAAATTAAGTATTGCATTATTTACAAACCGTTTGTATTTAAGAGTAGTTGAGGGTTTGTAGGATAATTCAGAATGAATTAGTAAATGATTAATAAACTATTGAAATCAAAGTTTATATGTCTTATTATTCAGGCATATATTAATGGTTACTATGTATGTTAATAAATGCTTTACTAACTCAACTTCATCCAGTTTTGTGACCTAATCTAAAGTGAGGACTATTTATGCTTTATAAATCCCTTATAAATGACAAATAAAGGCTCAGTTAAATTCTAAACAGGAAGAATGACATTATTCATTCCTATTCATTTAAAGATACACAATCGAAACTGTAAAAATAAATCTTTGTAAGCTTATCTAAAATAAAAATCACTGTAAAGTTTAAACATTGCATCTTATTATATTGTTAAATTATTATATTGTTGTTGTTTTATCCAGTTGGATGTCATATTTTGACACCTGTTATTAAGCAATGTTTAAACTTTACAGTAATTTTACTTTTTAAAATAGATTGCACAGATTATTGTTCATTTGATTCTGAGCCTTTAATTGTCATTTATAAGGGATTTATAAAGCATAAATAGTCCTCACTTTAGATTAGGTCACAAAAATGCATAAAGTTGAATTAATTAAGCATTTATTAACATATTAGTTAACTATTAGTATATGCATGAATAATAAGATATATGAATGTTGATTTCAATAGTTTATTAATCAATTACTAACTCAATCTGAATGATCCTAAAAACCCTCAACTACTCTTAAATACAACTAGTTTGTAAATAATGCGATACTTAATTTAGTAATGAAAAATAAATCATTACCTAAGTATGAAAGTACAATCATTAATCACATTATAAATGTGGTTGTAAGTCAAGAATAGAGCATTTGTAGCTGCAGTTATAAACTGCTTACTAACGTTTATTATTGTAGAGTTAATGCTTAACACATAATGAATTCACTAATTGCTAATGCTTAATCAATGATTTAGAGCGTGTAGTTATTATAAAGTGATACCTAAGTGAGTAATAATTGCATAAACAACCATTTTAGCAAATATTCAATTAAAACTAGAGTTGAGGGATATCAGACACCTACCAGACTGATAGAACTGTAGGGATTGATGTGATGCGTCAATAGCAACAGATACAGGACCCACAGCAGCAACAGCATTCATTAGGGCAAGCTCATTACCTCTGGGGATGTCCACGAATCCGGTGATTTTAGCGACATTAAAACGGGGGTCATAGCGGCATGGCAGATCATCCTGCAAGCACGAAGTTAAAATAAGAAAAAAGTGGTACATTGAAGTCTTAAAATACTTAATGACCTTCATTCAAAGAGATTAAAAAACTAAAATGACATTTGTCCACAATCTGCAAATACAGCAGTTTAATCCCATGTCTAATCCCATGTTTCATTGCTCAGAAACCGTCACAATATGATTCTTACCCTTGCAAGATAAGGGTATGACTGCTCAGAATCCAGCCCCTTGTTTTCTTTAACATACTGGAAGGCCTGGTCCATGATGCCTCCATTACACCCTTGATTGCCCTGTGGTCTGGAACAGTCCACCAAGTTTTGCTCACTCATAGAAATCAGCTTTCCAGTTTTACGAAAGAGCTGACCTTCCAAGGCACCCGTTGAACTGAAAGACCAGCAAGATCCACATTGTTTCTAAAACCACAAAACAGAAGAGTCACCAAACAGTAAAGCTACAGATACACATACTGACATTTAATAGCCATTTATACATTAAACTGGGTTTACCAGATCAACTGTAAATAGATCAATTGTAATAGATGCAACTATAGGTCCTAATTTAGCATAAAACATTTGCAGTTTTCAGTGACTTTAAACTCACCTGGTCTTTGACAGGAGTAACATAGCCCCTCTGTCTCCAGTCAACCTGTTGTGGTGCTGCAAAAAAGCTGGGTTCCATGAACAACGGGCCCTGTGACGTCCGGTTGGGGTCATGCTTATAACCATTCATTGCCTGTCTGAACTCCTCATTTGTCTAATAAAGAGATTGTAGTGAAATGTTAATAAAACAGTCTTACAAATAGTACTTTAAAAGGTATCGATAGCACCTCAAATTGAGAATTAAAGTAATTTTGCTGAAAATCTTTTAGAGCACACAGGGCTTAAATCTCTAATCTAGGATGTTGTTGACTGTAATTGAATCATTTAATAAACACAACAACATTCTGATCTGGTTTCACACTTATGAATCTTGCATTTTGATTGTTTTTTTTCTCTCTTTTTGACAATTTGGATTGTATAAAGCAATATAGATAGAGAAATAAATGACTGTAATTGACTGTAATACTAAACTGCTCACCATGTCACCAAATTGATTCATTCCCATTTTAAAGGTGTGATTTCCATAGGAATACTCAAAGTTGTGTTGCTCAATTTTTCTCAAGTTCTCCTCCCAAATCATTCTCCTCCCGACCTCTAGGTCCTGGAGTAGAAAGTAGATAAAGTATCAGCTATTGCAAAGCACCAGTTCAACATAAACACATGCACTGCATCATTCATTCATGTTAAGCTGTTACATGGCTACAGACTACAGTCTTCCCACCTCATGATAGCTTTTTCCATGCTGGCTCTTCCAGGAGTTCCAGTGGTCGTCTAACTGGATGTCTATAGATGGAGCAGTGAACACTGCACTTATGCACAGCGTGACGAGCAAAGCAAACATCATCCTGCCTGGAAGACTAACAGAAAAAACAACAGTAAAAAAAATGTAACTTAAAGCAATAAAGAAAATTTATAAACATTAACAAAACACTTTAAACAGGCAACAGCACAAGCAGTTCACTTTACTGTGAGTTGAGGTAAATGTCACATTAATATAATACAAGCAATGTCTCCTATGAAGGAAGGAAAAAAAGAAAGATTTACACTTACATTTCGCAAGCAAATCTTTTTGAATGAGTGAACTTACAATTGAGTGGGTTTTATAGCC